CAAATGCATTGATATGTGAGTACAATATGATTCATTCATTAAGTGCGCGGGATTATATATTGATATTCATTCGCAGACAGACTTCGAATGCAAATTTGTGTTTTAAATAGCGAATAATCCTTAATCGCGAGGGCTGCATTAAAAGGGCACGTGTACGTAAGAAGAAGTGTATTGAAAAAGAACGAATTCCATAAGGTACTTCGACGAAATGCATGTTCCCATTTTGGGAATCTATAAAAGAAGCTTGGCAATTTATTTTCATCCGCCAGCGCCTTTTCTTTAAACAGCATGCGTTTATTTTGCACCGGTCAGCGTGAAGTGATATCCAGCCGAGATCGAGTAGAAACAGTGCAGATATCTCAGGATTTAAAATCACCACGCAAAAATCTTCACGAAAGCCGATCTTCGGAAATTATACGCGAGACGTTGAAAATTTCCATCCGCTTGGAGGTCAGCGCGACTTTTGCTTCAATTGGCGTAATTAAAAGGTACATTTTTTCCATTACTTTGCTTGCGTCATTTTAGACGTTTAGCAGATATAGATTTGTTCATTTTAGAATTTAAGATAGAAGCGGAAGAAAAGTGAATTAGAGACCCCCCTTCTCGTATTGATTACGGACCGTCCGTCGGCAGGCACGAGATAAGAGCGCAACATATACAGAATCGGAACGGTATGTGGTACTCTCTTCACGGAAATAAATTGCTAATAAAATCACATTGATTTTCTTGAATGCATAAATAAATACTTGATAAAATAATATAAAGGTAATACCTATATTTTTATTTTTGTATAGTCATCGCGCTTTATCAGAATAAATTCCTGCTCACGTATCCATAATCTTCTAATTGTGATAATGGACGTTTTAATGTAAATATTTGAAAAGTAATTGCTTAAAGTCTATTGTATAACATTCTGTTCGATCAGTAAAGCACCGAAAATGTTTATTCAAAGACCTCATCGCTACGTTTCATTAATATTATGTACTGCTTTTGCGGATTTGGAAGATACTCCAACCATTTTCAAAAATTATGCATTTTACATTCTACGAGCGGTAATATACAGCGTTGTTTTTGTAGTAGGAAATTTTTATGTAACTGAGGTATTGTACATGAAAACTTTGGATAAAATAGCATTCCTCGTGGGAAACGTGGTGTTAATCGCCTTGACGGTATACATTATGCTTTGGAGTGTTGTGTACAAACGTAAATACGTGAGTATACTCGTTCGGTTTAAAGGAGAAAATCTCCAACTGCAAGAGTGGATTGAGGTGCTATTACTTTTGGCATACCTCATGTTGACATGTGGAACGGTAGCATATGAAAGTAATAATGTATATCTTGTGCTGGAGTTTGGAATTTTATTTGTCTTACCCGACATGCTTACTTTCTCAGCAGTGTATCACTTCGCCAATTTAGTGACTGTCCTAAGAAGAAGGTTTATTCAGCTTAATCGTGACACTCTAAACGGAAGCGATTTAGCCAATAACATTATTGGGAGATATCAAGCTTTGTATAAAATTACTGTTGAGGTCAACAATTTGTATGGATTACTAATTCTGTGGACGATTGTGGCATTCTTTATATGGATGATGATCGATTTGTACAGATTTCTGAACGACATTATGAAAGATCAAGTTGAAGAAGATGGAATGATTTTCGGAAATTTAATTGCGACAGTTTACCATTACTTTACACTTTTCTACATTGTAATACTGTGCAGCTCTACCAAATTGCACTGTTATAATTTTAGAATTTTTTATTTAAGAACTCTTCTTCGCCAACAGCCAAAAATTGAAAATGTAAGATACGGTTTCTGATGATACATTGCTAAAGGGTGTTTTTTTTTTAGAAAAGAATCTGTCTGTCGCTGTTTCATCAAAATGCTCAATTTAGTGCTCTGGATTGGTTTGAGATTGATTATCCTTTATTATATGGGGTAAACGTACCTATGTTTTTAATTTATAGATAATTATGAGTTGCGTCTTTTAGGTCAGTGGAGCTATAGTAACGTATCTTGTACTACTTCAGCAATTACACTTATAAAATAGTGTGTTATTGGTGGTCCATAATTTGTTTTTTTTTGTTAATAAATTGTTTAGCGAATTTATAATAGCCAACAGTGACGTAACTAGGTATTTTTCGAAGCGGTCCCTGATCTGGTTTTGGCGCCCTACCATATTTGCGCGCCTTTCTCACTTACCATTGAGCTCTAATTAATAAAACACTGTACATTTTTGAGAGAAACTTACACGAAATTTTAAAAGCACTGCACTACTTAAATTTTAGAAAAATGCCTTGAATAACGAAGTCTTTCACTCAATGAAGAATAAAAATACATTTATAATGTTCTCAATTCTCGCGTCAAATTTAGCTATGACATAGGGTACAAGTCGTAGAAATGATTGCGTCTTAGAATAAGGGTGCAAATGTTGGTCACACTAATACAGACTATTGTATATATCACAAATAAAGTATTATTATTAGCTTAAATCTGCAGCCTTTTCCTACCGCTGTAACGGTAGGGCCATCCAGAAAATAACAGACGTTTTAAAATAAAAAATTAAGACAGTGTAAGAAACAACTTTTATTATATAAGTACATTTGGAAGCTACACTCTTAGGCTATTTTTCAACATAGTCGCCATTCATATTGAGGCGCTTATCATAGTGTGGTACAAGTGTTTTGATTCAAACTTTGTATACCTCCGCCGTCTGTGGGGGCGTCAGAAGTGGGTACCGACAAAGGGAATGTGGTAGCCCCCTGACAAGGTCTTATTGATTGTGGAGTCACAACTGGCTAATAAAAGTACTGATCTGCCACACAAAATTGCGCTGAAATCCCTTGGATGTTCCGTTCATCCTAAAGGACCGTAAATTTAGTTTTAATTATATTTCACTGCACCCTGTATTCGTCTTTAGCAAACTATTAGAATTTAACCGCCGTTCTTGTCTTTTATGACTGGCCTATACGACACACCGCGATGCCCATCCCGACTTATTGCCCTCGGTGCTTCAGCGCCTCCGGCGCGCCCTCCCCTATTCAGAGCGCGGTGCCGCGGCACCTTTGGCACCTACCTAGTTACGCCACTGATAGCCAAACTGTACATTTGATCAATCAAGAACAGTCCGAATAGCAAAATCAACCGCTGCAAGGACAGACAAGACAGACAGACAGACAAACTACAATATACTTATAGATGAATTGTGAAGGAGGACAAAATCAATTTTATTCAATAAAAGTAGTCTACTGATACCAAAATTCACACGATTCGTAAAATTTACTGGTAGTATGCAGCGAACCACGATAAGGGAAAGGGAAATGGGTTGTCTAGTGAAACGTTCACCGAGGCTTGACAAAGCTCATATAATTTTGGGCGCCGGGCGTGCATAAGTCACGTCAAAAAGTAAATAAGAATATAAACTAAAAATAAAACAAGAATACATTCTTTGTGAATACTCGGGCACCAGCACAACGTACAAAGAAAAATATATTCAAAAACTACAATGTCAGAATCAGATCTAATTCCAACTTACGTGCCCCATTCGTAAATGGGTTTCGGATTGCGATTAAGGTAAAACAAAGATCGGTAATTAATTTTTTAAAACATGGCATGATCAAATGGGGCGTATTAACAAAGAGGTATTATATGAATGAGGATTACACTCCTTTCATTCGCGCGATAAATAATTTAAACAATTTTAGCGTGATGACTGCAAATTTTCCACTTCAAAAATCACCCTCTTTCGCAAAAATCAGACCTGTCATATCAACGATAAAGGCAAAAGTGATATTTTTAGATCATATACAAGTGTGAGCAACAATGATTGAAGCGTGCGTCATCACCGCTTGTTCCTATTAATATCAAAACTACCTTCTTTGTATGAAGTTGTATACGAAAATGACGTTCTGCGCTGTCACAGTGACGTGCGTCTATTCGTATTTCGTATCTTGTATCAAATCAGCATATGCTATGAGCGGCACATTGCCAATTTAGCTGAAGCGGCACGCTTCAATCTTTGTTGCTCACTCTGTATATTCCATAGATATAGCGTCCGGTCATTAAATCTGTGCTAACATACAGGGTGATTCCTATAGTACCTGCCACCGTTTGGGAGCGTGTAGGTGGTGCGTAGGGGAGTATTTTGATATAGGACACTTGGGGTCGGAAATCTAAAATAAGGGTGCCAGAGCCAAATTTACCTTCTGGAATTTCGCGCCTGTAGGTAGGCAACCCAACCGGCCGGCGGTGCACACGGAGCGATCTCAGGCGGCGATGTGTGGCTGACACTTGATCAGAATTTTGTTTAAACCCACGAAATCCCGTCTGCAACGACGCGTATCAAGTGAATAAACACTATGGCACGTTTTACTAACACGGAATACGCGGACATGCACTTCATGTACGGATTGGCAAATGGTAACGCACGAGCTGCACGACGAGCGTACGCTGAGCGGTATCCAAACCGTCAGTTACCCTGCAGACAGGTCTTTCAAGAAGTTCACTTCCGACTGTGCGAGACAGGGCAATTGCAGGTAAGCTGACGGAGGCTTAACTTTACACACAGATTCGTGATGCACATCGATACTTGGGTCATTTAAGCACCCATATATCTATGCATATATGATCTACATTTGTACGGTATTATCTTTGTTGTACGTAATGATAACAGGAACCGCGTAGGCGCACACACTTTACGATGCACAGTTTTTTAATTGTATTTATTTATTTATTTTATTTTGCCCTTATTTTTGAGTGGGCGGGGTTTCAGCCAAGGTTGCTCTACCAACCCAACCCACTATACATTTACAAATATCCATGTCCTAACTCGAATTCGAACCATTCAGCTTTAACTGAACTGCGCCACAGGCACATATAACAATTTTTTATCCTTGTCGCCAAATTCTGTAGTGTTATAAGAACGATATTAACAATGTTATTGTCATCATATAGATATACAATACTGTCAATCTCATGACATGACATTACAATCTCTGTTTCGACCAAGATATCTTGGTTTTAACATATTTGACGCATCCTATATACATGACTACGCCACTGCCTGGTTAGGCGATTGGGCCACTTCACCTGCAGTATTTTTAAATTCAAAGTAAATTTTGGCGCCGTGATGAAAATTAGGTGTTTTTAATTGCTTTTTAAAAAGATAGTAATAAACGTCTTTTTTTTAGGGCAGTTTTGGCTTTAGGCGTTGAAGTAATATGAGAATGCGTCTAGAAGTAATTAAATACAATGAATACACAATTTCAAGTTCAAATTCCAAACATGAATCATACGCATATCGAAATTGTTACACTTGCTTCCTTGTTAATCGCGTAGTTTAAATCACCTAATGTCAACAACAAGTGTAATTGACGAGAAAAAAACCAGGTAATTTGGAATGGGTAATTAGAAAAATAGAAATTGTTTAACATAACCTTTGCAACATTAATTCTTAAAAAGTAAACGATTTAAATGTTCAACTTCTTCGTATCTCTTTATACACAGTTCTTTGTATTGTTTGTTAGAATTTTCATCTACATTTTAAGGTATAAAGGAAAATTGCGCTTCATTTTTATTTGCATTATGTAACAAACATAACCTTAAAATTTGAATAATAAACATTTCTGTTTAGCTGGATTATTCCAAGCTGGTGTTCATGGAATAAATTTTCGGAGAGTATGCTGCGTGCCGTGGAGAAGAAAATACTGTCATGTGAGTAGTACTTGCTCTCATACACAATTTATCATTTAAATTGAAGATCTTAAAACCGCCTATCGAGGATGGTACGTTGACATTGGACCGACAATCGGTGCAGCTGACAAAATATGGACCATTTCGTTAAACGCAGACAATCAAAATACTCCCATAGTTTTGCTACACGGTCTAGGGGCGGGTGTCGCTTTGTGGTGTCTTAATTTGGACGCGTTTGCGGCGACGCGACCTGTGTACGCGATAGACATGATAGGTTCGGTGAAGGCGTAATTCAAGGGGGTAGTCATTCTGGTAAAGCTGTACTCATAATGCACCAACAAGATAAACTTATTCCCAGAGTGGATACACCCTCGCCGTAATTTAACTGTCAAGTGTACATTTTCTAGGATTTGGGCGTAGTTCTCGACCGGCGTTTAGTACAAACGCAATGGAAGCGGAACAACAATTTGTACGGTCGATAGAAGAATGGAGGCACGAAATGAACCTCGACAAATTCATACTGCTCGGTCACAGCATGGGCGGCTTTTTGGCAGCATCTTACTCGCTCTCACATCCGCAACGCGTCCAGCATTTAATACTCGCCGATCCGTGGGGTTTTCCGGAGAAGCCTCCGGATTCGGAACGCAGACCTTTGCCTGTTTGGGTACGTGCCGTCGCTTACATGATGTCGCCTTTTAATCCACTTGCAGCTATTAGAGCGGCCGGACCATGGGGTAAATTTGTTCGTGCGATCTTAGTTTGTTTCTAAAATATACGTTGTGCAGGAGAGTGGATTATTGACAAGGCAAGACCAGATATTGCAAAAAAATTTACCCCCGTTGTCGAAGAATGTGGTTTAATAACGCAGTACCTTTATCAGTGTAACTCCCAGACGCCCAGGTAAGTTGAATTGTGTTACTTATTCTCATATCGGGAGTTTCGGTCTTATTTGTTACAGTGGGGAAAGTGCTTTTCACAGTATGACTTCTGGTTTCGGTTGGGCGAAAAATCCTATGGTGCAACGGATTGACAAGCTGGATAAAAATATTCCCATAACCCTCTTGTACGGCGCAAGATCATGGGTGGATAATTCAGCCGGTGAGATTATTAAAAGTAAACGAGTTGGCTCATACGTTCAACTACAGGTAATGTATTGACGATTATTAAACATAAATTATACATTTTATGTCTAGATCATATCCTCTGCGGGTCATCACGTTTACGCAGATAAACCGGACGTTTTTAATAAATATGTAATTGAAGCATGTAAATACGCCGATAGGGTAGGTAATAAATACGAGTATTTAAAACCTTCAAATGTTGATAAAACAGAATCGGATATTGAAGAAGACGTAGAACAAACATTTCCCGTAATTGAAAATTAACCAGGGTTTAGTTAGTGCACATTTTAGCTAATTGTAGCAGGTGGATGATATTTGTATTAACCAGTGATCATTTTTATTATTGACTTCCATCTTGTCTGTTATTTATAGAGGAAAGTTACTGTGAATATATCGGAATAGGTTCACTTCTTATTTATTTTATTATTGAGTAATTATGTTTTATTATAGTAAGGAGGTTACACAATTCTTGTGTAACGGATTTTTTCATAAGATACCTAGTTACAGCAGCTGCGGTTTTTTTAAGTAACTGAATACCACTTTATTTCAGTGGGCATTGAAATTATGAATGTATTTATTTGTGTTGTATTAAACATTCTTTTAGTTTGATTTTTTTGATTAAGAAAATATCTTCTAATCTCTAGTCTGTCACTCTCTCCAAGAGACCTGTGGAAAAAAATTGTAGCAAATATCTCGTCAAACAAAATTAATGCAGTGGAACTTTGTGTAATGGTTCTTTTTGAATCTAATTACTAAATATCATTTGACAGTGGCGACATCTATGAGAAATAAATAAAACCAAAACTGATAATAAAATATCTTCCAATGAGATGTCGCCACGTACGAAATTACATTCAAAATAACATTTTAATTTATGCACATAATAGCCACGTCCGACTCAATTTTCCTTAAAGGGCAATTAAAAATGTGCAATTTCATGTAGGATATGTGGAGCAATTGTACTTCAATGATCCAGTATCTGGAATTGTCTTTTGTGTATGCAATTGGTACATTTGCGCCATCTCTTTGGTAATCCCTATACTTTTCCTTATTATTTTCTTGTAATAGTTGAACCAGTTCCATTGAGATGTCGCCACGTACGTAAATACCTTCACAAGAACATTTTAATTTAAGCACTTAATGGCCACGTCCGACTCAATTTTCCTTAAAGGGCAGTTGAAAATGTGCAATTTCATGTAGGATTTGTAGAGCAATTGTACTTCAATGATCCAGTATCTGGAATTGTCTTTTGTGTATGCAATTGGTACATTTGCGCCATCTCTTTGGTAATCGCTATACTTTTCCTTATTATTTTCTTGTATTAGTAGAACCAGTTCCAATGAGATGTCGCCACGTACGAAACTACATTCAAAATAACATTTTAATTATGCACTTAATAGCCACGTCCGACTCAATTTTCCTTAAAGGGCAGTTGAAAATGTGCAATTTCATGTAGGATTTGTAGAGCAATTGTACTTCAATGATCCAGTATCTGGAATTGTCTTTTGTGTATGCAATTGGTACATTTGCGCCATCTCTTTGGTAATCCCTATACTTTTCCTTATTATTTTCTTGTAATAGTTGAACCAGTTCCAATGAGATGTCGCCACGTACGAAACTACATTCAAAATAACATTTTAATTTATGCACTTAATAGCCACGTCCGACTCAATTTTCCTTAAAGGGCAGTTGAAAATGTGCAATTTCATGTAGGATTTGTAGAGCAATTGTACTTCAATGATCCAGTATTTGGAATTGTCTTTTGTGTATGCAATTGGTACATTTGCGCCATCTTTTTGGTAATCCCTATACTTTTCCTTATTATTTTCTTAATAGTTGAACCAGTTCCAATGAGATGTCGCCACGTACGAAACTACATTCAAAATAACATTTTAATATATGCACTTAATAGCCACGTCCGACTCAATTTTCCTTAAAGGGCAGTTGAAAATGTGCAATTTCATGTAGGATTTGTAGAGCAATTGTACTTCAATGATCCAGTATCTGAAATTGTCTTTTGTGTATGCAATTGGTACATTTGCGCCATCTCTTTGGTAATCCCTATACTTTTCCAAATTAATAGATAGACTAGAAACCAATTTCGAAAGAAAATTCAAAAGGCTGTCTTTTGATCTAGCGGCCCAATCTTGGAACTGTTTGAAATTATGGATTCTACAGGCCACATTCTATAAGAAAATGGTTTTTCACGGTCGATCTGAGACAATTTTTTTTTCGAGCCAAAAAAAAGTGTATAACCTTCCTTTTTTACCAAAAATCGACTACACCAAAATTTCTCGGGAAAACACTTTTTCTTATTAATTTTGGGGCGTAGAATCCAAAACAATTCGTACTTTTTCGATTAGACTTCTCAATCAAAAGTTATAGACTAGAAACCAATTTCGAAAGAAAATTCAAAAGGCTGTAACTTTTGATCTAGCAGCCCAATCTTGGAACTGTTTGAAATTATGGATTCTACAGGCCACATTCTATAAGAAAATGTTTTTTCCTGGTCGATCTGAGACAATTTTTTTTCGGGCCAAAAAAATAAGGCTAAAATCCTCTTATAATTTCTAATCCTGTTAGTCAATGTGTATTGTAAAATCAGTGGTTCAGGATTGTAGGTTTTTTATAAATTGCCTATATGAATGCAACCATTGCTTCGCGCCATCTTTATTTTTATATTTTAAATTAGAAAATCGCGGGAGTTATTCTTTTTTTTTTAAGGTTATAATTTCATCTACCACTGAAAATTAAAATGGTTCGAACACTCGATAGAGCCGTAAAAAGTAAGTAAGTAACAGCAAATTACACTAAATATTACATTTTCATATTTTAGCTGGTGGAAAAAATGCGAAAGCTGCACCTTCAACATCAAGTACAAGAAGTAGATCTCCATCAAATGGGCCGAGTGACAGAGGTAATACCACCATCATTGTCGTAACTTGTTATCGCAATTAGAAATTACTTACAGCTTACAGTTCATACAATTCGGTTTGCCCTCGTGAAACTCCCGCCTGGCAGAAGCCGATAACTTCGTTTTTCCAAAATTCCGAGAAGGCACCAACACTTGCCGACTTGAGATCTAAGCGCCCATCACCCGCTAAGGACATTGCAACCGACACACAGATGGAGGCAGAAGAGGCTCAACCAAGCGTCGCGGGAAGCAGTAAGATGCCGGCAGCTAATGTGGAAGAAATTCGTATTACGGAGAATCGAAATGATTGTGAAATGGAGGAGAGCGTTATTTCTGTGGTCGCGAAAATTAGGCCGCGAGAGGATGATGATAATGAGGAACCGAAAAAGAAGAGGAAATTAAATGTTGATATGTATTCAAAACTGGAACTGTTAGAATCGAATTAAGTATTGTTTATTTTTTAACTCTCAAGTATTATGTAAAATATTTAAATTATCTCATTAAATAAATTAATTTAATTCTTGTTTTGACAAACCTCCTTGGCTGGAAGGTTTGAAAGTCTCTCTAGGAAGTAGCCCTTTGCAAGGATTCTGGATTGGGGGGGGGGGGGGTTCTTTAAGTTCTTCTGATCTAAGAGTAACAATAAGTTACTTAATTTTCAGGTAATTATGAAGAAAAGAGTAAGCCAGAAGAAGGAAGCCTAAAAAATGATTATTCAAAGCGTAATTTTTGGTACATAGCGAAAATGGCCTTAGAACTTGTGAAATATATCCGTAAATGCGTCAGCGAAGTGTCGAAAGCAAAATATCAAGAGAAAAACGTAGAAGTACGTATGCCAAAAAGTATTAAAGAGAACTCTCCAGGACCTCTGACGGTAAAACAAAGAACTATTGTAATAAAGCGCTAAAGTGATGAGAAATCTACTACAGAAATTAACTTACCTCATCAAGAATATGGATTTGTAAGAAAATAACGTTACAAACAATTGTTTACAAACACTTTATTTTGAATCAACAAGCTTACACGTAAGCAACATTTATGTGTAGATACAGTGAGTAACAAAATAAGACACAAAATACAAAAAAATATTCAACACTTATTTTGTTTCACACTGTGCAGTGGCAACAAGTTCAAGGCAGGCATTTACTGGAGTAATTACAATAGCGTGTATTTTTAATAATCTAATACTTAATAACAGGTATGTATTACGTTCACAAAAATACTCTGCAGTCTTAATTCTGTTATATATAACTAATTATGAAACATTCATAGTATAAATGCTTATGTCTATTAGTGTATAAATTAAAAGTGCTAAATTACAAAAACCAAAATCACAACGCACAGTGTTTATTGTGACTTCAAACGTAGATAAGGGCTAACAGAACGTAACGGCTACTTAAGAATACGTTAGAATATGTTGACATTGTGCGCTCAGTAAGTATTTTGTACAAGTGCACATTATACTCATCGTTTATTGCCTTAAAAATAATTTCGAAGTCGATTATACACAATTTGGACGAAATTAAGTTGTTCAAAAACACAAACTTTCCAACACGTGTAGCAAAAATATGTGCATTTAACTGATTTGATAGTTTACAAAAATAAATGCGTAGCAAAATATATGAGATTAAGCAAATGTAAGTTTCATGGCATTGTTTTAGGCCACTGCTCATAATATTTATACCCTAAATATATAAAAGCTACACTTACATTTTGTTACTAAATAAATAATTCTAGAGACAAACTGACTATACATAACTGAGTTCCAGAAAAGCTTACTGCCGTTATTAATTAATCTATTTACTTACTATAGTCATTGACACTTTTTGGTATCTGTAAACTAATTTAACTATACCTTTTGAACGCCATACGAAAAGAAATCGTTGAGCTTTTCCCTCTCACGTTTTATTACCATCATCAGCGCCTCTCATAAATTATAGTTAAGTTCCAACGGTTTTTCAAAAATCACCTTATTAATATAATTCTAAACTCTAATGATATCTCATAACATTTGCTTGTGCTCTCGAGTCGTAATATAGACCTGACTTGGTTACATTCGAGCAATCGAAAAACTATTATGAAACCTAATTCTAAGTCACTATAAATTAGTTGTGGTTGTTAGGCTGTGCAAATCTACTGCATTTTTAAATCGGATGTGCAGTGTTGCGTAAATAATTTTCAATACCGCTATTTGAATATTAAAAAAGAAATTACGAAGCTTACTAACAGTCGTGAAACCTGTGTGACCCTTTCGAATTTATATTTTGGTCAATGTACTGCTTCATAGCGAACGTGAACAAAAGTATGTCTGGCGATAACAAAACGTATCGCGAGCGCGGTTGTCATAATATCTTCAAACTTTCCGTTCTGTTTAAACCCAGCACGTGACGGAAATGCAGATTTTCTATTGGTTGTTGGGGAACGCCAGTCGAGGTCATTTGCGTTCAGAAATAAGATCCTTTTCGGCTTTTCTCACGGGCGAAATTCAGATGGCGAAAGTGGTGGGATAGCGAGAGATTCCGCGAGTCGAGGGATTCCTGCTCGATTTCGCTAGGCGAAACGTACCATTTGGGAAGTGAATATTCCCCACGTCAATAACTGCAGTTATTTTAAAAATTTTGATTTGTATCAAGCAGTGGTCGGTTATTTTTAGGAATTTGCATGAGAGATCTTCTTCGAAATATTTTTAATATTCCTAAAGCAATCGGCCCACGAAAATTATTTGTATGAAACCAATTTTGTATTGTATTTATTGATAATAATCGAATCTACACAAAGCATTTGGGGTATTAGTTAAGTGTTTGCCAGTAGAGGTTCAATTTTATTTTGTGCAAGAGGGGTCTTTAACCCTTGTAATTGCAACTAAGCCAGTTACACATTTGGCGCCTGGGACTACTGGATAGTATAAATAAAAACAATATACTATCAAAAATTCCTGGTGCCTCATGTAATGAAAATTGTAGCAAAAACTGCTCTCTAATCCTCGTGTTCGTAATCAATGGTCCAACATACACAGGTTTCAACGAGCTTATAATTGGAGGTGTTACTTAATGGTACATACTTACTTTAATGAGTGATTCTTAGCTGCGTCCAAAACACTAGGTCGATATACAGGGTGATGAAATTAAATTTAATAATTCCACAAAGTAATACCCGATATACAATATAATATATAATATACAATGAAGATTAAGCCCCCTTATGAATATTTCGTAGAAACAAATTGGAAGACTGCCATTTGTATAGTGGAATTCGAAGTTGAAAACTGCTCGTTTGACTTGCACAATAAAAAATGAAATGTCAAATTCTATCGAATTTTGTAATGCTATATTTACACTTGCGTACAAGGTGAATCGACACCATAGGACTCACCCTGTAGATTGGACTTTGTTGGGATGTTTCTTTTCTATATCAAAATTCTCTATTCCTAGCATTCGGAAATTAAGCCCTACTCGAACGCACTTTAAAAAAATAAACTTTGAATATTTTAAATTGCAAACTAGTAATGCGCACTATTTTAGTTAATGTAGTCAGGTACATTTAGAAAAACAGGCTTATTTATACATTGCCAGTACTTCTCTCTACGGTACGAGCAACATTCAAGGCCAGTTTCAAGTATAAAAGAACATTCAAGAATGCGTATGCGCATCTACCGATGGGAAACAGTCTCCCTTTCACAGCTGAGCTTCACTAAATACGAAAAAAACAGCACAAATAGATGGCGCCATCTGCAAAGTATTTGTGTTTTTTGTTTGTTACCTTTAACTTCCAGTAATTTAGACGTATACGTGCTAACTGTATATCACATTTAGAATTTCAAAAACAACCGTCATTTTTGATAAGATAGATTTGCCAGCCTTTTCTACTCCTACTTTAATAGTTAGGGTTACAGTATCCTATAAAATAAATTCAATAAATAGAAAATATGTATAAGGGGGGAGGTTTAGTGTGGCTACAAAGTTCCGGTTTGATTAGGTCGTTGGTTTCGTCGCAAGTCTTCGACTTGTATGAGCTAAAACACGCTTGATATTGACCAATAACGATAAAAAAAGCCTTACCTTTTCTATAGGTATACATGAAAGTTCACCGCCGACACTAGGAGGTGGCGGTGGTGGATGGGAAGCGGTGGGCGTGACTGCCGGTTTATTCGCCTTTTCCTGCGCCTCTCTCGCTCTTCGTTCCTTAAGCTTAAGCGAAAAGATCGCCACCGATCTTGCACGTTTCATTAGGCTCTGTTTCACTCTGGTTTTCTTCGCCGCTAATTCCTCGGCAGAAGCTTGAAAATAAGGATTTTCATTTACCTTTTAAATTTCACTTAATTACAGTCGGTCAAATGTTCAAAACAAATGAAATGATGTACAGTATGTTCCAACTAACGTCGGCACTATTGCTATCATAATTACACACCGGTTCAACTCACTTTGACCTCTGTACACCAAGTAATGAAAGTCACTGAAGGTCATTAGATCGTGGTTGGTGTCTAAACCAACGTCACTGCCTAAATACACAAAAATTGGATAGTGCTTCAAAAACATTAACAGAAATAAACACCTACGTTCGAGCGTTTGCTTAATATGGGAGTTGAAAGGAATGGCTATCTTTTAACTTTTAAAGAAAGCGTTCGGGTAAGTAGAGAAAAGGTAGAAATTTGCAATTTAAGCGAGCTTAGTAAAAAAGGTGCAATTTGGTTGTTCAATGAGTGGAGGGTTACTAAAAATGCACGCATTCGAACCCCAATATGGCGACTGGAACCAACGACCAATCAAAAACGAGATACCCGTCGGTTACACAGTCACTGCCACTGTTTTTCCATTCTGATCACCCGTTATTCCGAAGACTCTGCAAGAGCTTCATGCTGAGGAATCACCAAGATGAAGCAGCTAGCTAGGAGATATGTCTATTGGAAATGGTAAACTGATGTTCATTTAACCCCTATCACCGGCCTACGTTCCCGTGGACACTCGGTCTCGAGTACTGTCATTTATCGTTCGCTTGTAGTAGACCGACAGCTTAAGGGCTCAGTCAACGAGAAGAGCGAGTATACACATAAAACATAAGCCTAACCTTATGGAAGAAAGTGGCTCATTAGGAAACATACGCGGGGTTTGGGAAGTAGATCCCTCCACAGTATCTTTTCTAATTTTCGAGTTATAACGCAAACTTAAATTTTTTTAAATGGCAACCATGGTTGGTTGTGACATTTTTTAAAAGTGCATTTTTTTCTGTTTGCAGTGATATAAGGTTCATTGTACTTACTTTGACAAATAAACATGAATTTTCTTTGAGGCCTTCAATAATGAGCGGTATTTTGTTGTTTTATTGTTTTCCATGGCATGATACGATTTACTTTTAATAGTGCATTGAATATGATCATTAATTTAACTTTCATAGTAAATTTTCGAAAATGTGCCACAATTTATATTATTACCTATCTCACTCGATATTGTTTTCCATGGCAAACTCTTTTTATTTACCTCTCAATAATACGAAAATTCCTGCAGTTCGTTTAGCAAGCCTTATATCAATATAAAGAGAAAAATTTGTCCTTTCCAAAAATGTCAAAGCGAACTATGACTATGTACCATTAAAAAAAATTAAAGTTTGTATCATAACTAAAAAATTGTAAAATATAGAAGGAAAATAGTATATTCATGATACTAAGCATTTAAATGTCTAAAACTTTTATTCGTATCATTTTGTCGTATTTCTAATACTAACGATTCTACAACAATTAAAAGAAAAATCACTAAATTTGTTTTTCGCTCATATCTAGTAAACTGTGGATTTTTTTCAAAAAACAAAAGCATATCTTAAATAAACTGTTAAAACAACAACTCTTCCTCATTTAACCGAATCGCTATGTCTTATGGTTTCCGCAATTCCAATGCTTAAAATGAAAAAAAACTCACCCTGTATATAATAATCAAGCATGCCATAAAAATAAGTGAACATGAAAAACCCAACATTTGTGCTATTTTTATTAATTACATACACTTGAAATCGGGGCTCTGTGGATCGGCGTCATTGATTTATCAATCAAGTTCAGACATACTGTGAAACACTACAGCATTTATCAAGTGTGCGAAATCGATAAAAAAACTCAGACAATATGTATAAATAAAATATAAAAATATAAATTTCAACGATCTATTCCCTGCATCACCATTCCATCTGAAATACTAATAAGCATAATTGACTGTAACATATAATATACAGGGTGGCCAAATAAGAATGCGTTCTGCCTCGTTCAAAGCTAAAATCATTCATTTTTCGAATAATTCATTTAAGTCTATAAAAACTGGAGAATAAATTTGATAGTAAAAACATAGACAAATATCTTGGTTTTTCCACTTTTTATATTTTAATCTGAAATAAGTTCTAATTTACATAATCGTGAATATGAAAAAAAAATGAAACGAATATCACTGACTGGATGACATTAGGAGTTAAATTAAATTTGCTTTGTAGTCAAATGTTTTTACTTATTTTCCAGTTTTTGTACTTAAAATAAATTGTTTCAAAAATAAATTAATCGACATGGTTTTCGTTTTGGACGAGATAGAAAAAAATTGCCTTTTTTTGCATGGCCACCTCACTATTATCTCAATTACATATAACATATTTAAGATTAGAATATAAAACCCAGGAAAACCAAGACATTATTATCAAACGTTGAAGGTTTTTGGAGGAGGTAAGGAAAAATATACACATTAAAAAAAGTGAGATTTTTCAATATGAAGTTTTGCAACTTTGGACCTACCAAAAAAACACCCTGTAAGCTATATGTTTAATGTTTCATAGTAGATGTATTTATTTAACTTTTACTTAACCCAGGATAAAAGATACAAAACCTGGAATCAAAATTTAAGTAATAATTTTGACAATATACTGACGCTTGCAAATGCCCAATTTTTCTTAAAAATCGAATTATCTTTAAAACTACTAGCTTTTCGGATATTAACCATATAATAAAAAAGACGTACAATTACACGTAGAATTCAAAAATGCATTCAAATACAGGAGGTTCTATTTAAAAAAATGTCCCATTTGGGCGCCCTACTTTGCGGGCGCACCCTGTATAATTCCAAATATTTTTAAAATGTGGAGAATATTCAACCATATCATAATACAAAAGCACTCTATCTTCAAGGCATTAAGTTACTCCCCGCAATCGTTGACTCACCCTGTACAACAAAACCTTCTGAATAAATGGGGCGAAATTAATATCAATACAGTGAAACATTGGCATTTTATTCCTTTGTATACTCACGATGTCGGGTGTTACTTTTGCGAAATTGCTGGAGGTTTGCTTGGATTCGAGATACATCCACCAAACTTTACATTCATCACGCTACCAATGTGGTGCAAAAAGACAACTGTACCATCGAAGGGGTCCGTTTCCCTATTTCTAAAGGAAGCGACATTTTCAAAGGAGAAGTAATTTGTATAAAGTAGTGGTCGGTGTTTAGGAACTTGCATATTAAATTTGTGTGAAGTAATTCTAATATTCTTAAAGGAATCGACCCATGAGAATAAAAAATTTTTATACAAGAGAATTTCAACCCTTGTAAATCGAATTATCTTTAAAACTACGAGCTTTTCGGATATTAACCATATAATAAAAAAGACGTACAATTACACGCAGAATTCAAAAATGCATTCAAATACAGGGGGTTCTATTTAAAAAAATGTACCATTTTGGCGCCCTACTTTGTGGACGCACCCTGTATAATTCCAAATATTTTTAAAATGTGGAGAATATTTAACCATATCAGAATACAAAAGCACTCTATCCAAAAATCTCATCTTCAAGGCATTAGTTACTCCGCGCAATCGTTGACTCACCCTGTACATAATGGAAAACTTCATCGAACGAAAAAAAACTTGTCACCCAGGGCCACAGGGCACAGACTCCTGATTTCAAGTGTATGTTCTATAATGCTGTGCGCGCGAGTTTCGACTTCAGAAGCAGTGTTGGGTATATCTTTTTTACCGCATTACAAAACAATTGAAAAAATACACTGTTTTCTGTCTGTCTGTCTTTATTGTAGTGTGTGTTGTTTATCTGATACATGGATCAAACGAAAGCTTATAAATATAAAGTCAAGAGGTGAACCCTCCATGCCCCCTAAACAATCGCACGCTCTAAAAGTACTCATATCTAGAAAAGAATAAGAAAATTGAACTATTTTTTTTAATAAACGATAGGGAACTCAAAATGTTCACCAGCTCCTAAAATATGTATATAGGTGGCAAACCTTGATCGCGCCCCCGGCGCCAACGTACTATGCTACGCCACTGCTAATTACTACTATCACAGACAATGACCTGAAAAGCGCACTACTGCAGAAGTAGGTACGGCCTATAAGTTGTCGATGTAATACGAACAAATTCTGGCTGTAAATAAAAAGTGGCGCCATCTATATTTCATTGTAATTTTTTAGGGACAAATCACAGTACAGGCGTGAGGTTTCTTCTCTCTCTCTCTTATTCAAGGACAGTAGGTAAAGAATGCAGATCTATGACCTTCAGTAACTTTGTGAGTTAGTTCAGAAAAGAACCCACGTCTATGACCGTCAGTGACATTGAGTTCAGGAACGACTCCCCCCCATTATTTGATCTTCAGCGACATTGGTTTTTATTTAAACAACCACAATCGAATGACCTTCAGTAACATTAAATGTATCTTTTCTTTTGTTGGAACTTCGGGTTCCAGTCCAAACCAATTAAAGAATACTTTATAAAACCCTAAAAGTCCTAGAGGCAGCACACTCTTGCAAACTATTAAAGGATGCTCCTAAACTTTAAAGGTATGATAATAGGTCATTAAGGGTATGTTTCTTAGAATGATTACCATCAAATTAAATTGGTGTGGACTTACTTTTCACTTGATCATCTGCCTCCTGACTAGATATACTTCGAGTGCTATCACTTAAATTAGGATCCGCCTGTACCGGTTTCGGACGTAACGGAACATTATTGGTACTACTGCCGCTCGGCGACCTAGGCCTGGGGGGCCAAATTGGACTACTGCGTAACAAATCCGAATCCGAACTGGACGCGTCCTGAAAGCGTAAACTTATCAGTTACCTGTCAAGAGCCTCGCAACTATACTTGTTTAATTTATTGTTTTTTTTTTTTTTGGTTTACATAATTTCATTGTTATTTTTAAGAAAAAGTTACAACATTAAAATATTACAAATAAAATTGTTAAAAAAAAAAATTTAGCAACTTACCTTAGACGTAATACAATCTGTGCTTCGGTGAATGTCACCACTTTCCTCCTTTAATTTGCGCGTCCATTCGGCACCGCCACTCGGCCCGATGGTTAAATGATGGCTGGGTTCTCCCTAAAACTTAATATGAAAGACCGATAATCCTGAAACGTCGATATACCTCCACGGGAACCCACTCTCTCGATTTCCTAGGTTTAAATGGTGGTATTTCTTGGATGCTATCGGGTGTAATTGATAATGGATTATGGTGGGGGAGATTTTTATTAACAGCAGGTACCGTTGAAGTAGGTGTCGGAATGGGTTCCGCACTGGGAGTAGGACCGACAGGTCTCGAGTCAATAATTTCTTTTAGAATTTCCGATTCCAATTTTAACCTCTCTTCCAGTTTCTCGGGCCCGTCTTCTTTGCCATGAACGTGACTGGGCGACACGGAGAATCTCCCTATTAGTTTTGTCATGGCGTCATCCGGCGACGGAGTTGCCGTTACGGATACTCGACTTATTTCTCTACGAGCCCACTCAATTTTCGCCATCTCTGTGGCCAACCAAGACGGCATATCAGGTATCGCGCACGTTATTAAAAAATGTATACATAACATTATATGCTAAAATTCGAGAAAATTACAACCTAGCAGTCCTTTAACAAAGACTTACTTCTAGTGCAACAATTAGAAGAATAGTTTGAGTGGCAGTCATATCAGGAAACATTCGATGTACTTGACCAGAGAGACCGATAAGAGCACAATTTACTAGCACAGCCATAATTCCCATATATTCCATGCAATTCTACAACGAGGTAGGTACGAATAACACCGACTGGCAACACTGGATCAACGCTTACCTGCCAAGTACCGATGTTCGGAACTCTTTGACCGAACGGACGCTGACATATATAACCAAGCTTGAATGCGTCGCTTCGTATCTCAATAAAATTATTTAACAGAGCGCACAGCGCCGCTGGAGGGAACGCGGACGAAAACAGAATTACATAACCCAACTGTATCATCATTTCTAAATGGTCGGCAAATGTTCCGTCGTACTGTAACGAAAGCGAATATTCCCTTTAGTTATTTATTTATTTTTTATTTATGCAATAATAGGTAAACATACCTTAAAAAATGAGCTTTCCAGTTCAGCTTGACTAATACTTCTCTTAAACGTTTTCTGCGAATTAGTCTCCTTAGCCTCGCCATTTCCCTCAGACTCGTCAATAACACCTGGTGGTGAACGAGTAGTGGTAGGAGTTAAGACTCCCCATAGATCGAAACTCATTTTGGCCAGCCGCATATGTTCCAACATGTAAGGCCACGCCGACTCTTTCAAATTACCGATTACTTGCCGCGCGATGAGAAGCGCTGCCAGTTGCTAGAAATTTAACGGGTTTGTAACGTGGGAGAGGCTCACGACGGCTACTAACCTCTTTCAAACGCGCCTGATCTTGTAGATAAAAAGCGATGTAGAATAACGACAGAAAGGAGTTTACAAATTGGAACTGGAAAAAATTAAAGTTATTGGCACAAGCATCAGTTTGGTACAAATTTTAAATGCTCAAACAAATTAAGAAGCAAATGAACACTTTATAAGCCTGCTGCAGAAAATAAGTAAAACTTGAGCTTCTAACGTGCAACAAAAAGTCATGCGCAAAATTGAACACTCAGTTCCCAAGGCAGTGCAATTGTAAATTACAGAAATGTGCTTTCACTAAATTTTCTGTTGCAATATCAGTATAAAAAGTAGCTTTTGGGAACATCTTCCGATAGCACAAACCTGACTCACAACCGAACACAAAAGGTTAGAGGGAACTTTTCTCTGGGACCAAATGTTTATCCGAGCCAATGTCTTACACTGAAGAACTTTGTAATTTTCATATTTTATCTTACACCACAGAATTGCACCAATATCTATTGCTCACACACCATGAAGCGGTATATGTGTAAATTTTCCTATGTTAAAGCAAATTCAAATTTGAAAATAGAACATTTAAAAACGACAAAGAGACTTCCCCTTACAGTACCCCCTCCAGTTTTTTAAAACGAAGACAACCTGGCGCTATTTGAAAAAAACAACAAAAATAAACGGACACTTTCCCTAAGTTGACTGGTCTAACTTAACAACAACACAATTATAAACTGACTTGAAAGTCCCAACAAACTAATCTAAAAATCCTGAACCTAAAAAATGATGGCGTTCCAGACTACTGGAAAGACCATAAAAATTATAAAATAGAACTATATTCGCTTCACTTCTAAACATATATTCTTTTAAGTTCATTATATACAGTGCGTTCAAGCTAAGAGGGGTCACCTCAGTATCTCTTTCATTTGGTGAGATACAACGACTAGTAGTGGTACAGCCGGACAGACCAATAAAGTACGGACAATAGCGTACAAACTTTGGGTACAAACCTTGGATATCACTGCGTCAACTAACACTAACACGCTTCGATGGTACAACTGACTTTTTGCACCGCCCTAGTAACGTTACCTTAGCGATACATGCAAGGTGTGGTGAAAAAAAAAGTTCGTATGAATCGCGAATCCAACCAAACCAGCGAAAGTAATATTCAAGATAGTGATTATGCACAGAAATAAAATACCAATGTTCCTCTGTGTTGATATCAATTTTGTTCAATTTACTAACTATGTAATGTTGCAGGTAAAATTCACCCATTAACTAAATTATATAATTAAACACTACTTAACGACGCGATTGAAAAAATCGTATCAACGTTCTTATTTAGAATTTTTCACTGAAAATAAAGCTCATAAAATCTTACCGCTACTAGGTAAACTTAATATGCTGAATGTATTTTTAAGAATACCTGCAAAAGTTTGTAATAATTTGGAAAGAATTTCAGGGAATTTTAACTTTGAATAATGCTAGTAGCTAAATAGCCTCTGAAAGACCTACAGGAAGCATTAGACAGCTTCTCTGAAGTTTAGACAATTTGTAAATTGTAACTCGAGAAACTCTAAAAATCCTCAAAAAATATGTAAACATTTTGTGAAGAACTGGATTCTGGATTACGATAGGAAGGTGGACAGGGTCCACGCGCACCTAGGCCCCAAATACGGGCCCTTTATACTACCTCCCTGACTAGAGTTGTCATAACCCTCAACGTCACTCAGGTCATCCCACACAAGATATATCCTAAAAAAGGCAATTGCTTAATCGCCTTCCCCAGAATTTGAGAGCGGCCCACCACAATACCTCTGCTATTCAACAACCACTTATTTTTAAGACGCAAGGATTCCAGAGTGACCTGCTCTCTCACATTAAAATGGTGGCGTAAAACCATTTCTATTCTTTTGTAGGTTATTTTGTTAAAAGCCCGTTCTACGTCTATGAATACTCCCAGTATGGACTGATTATAGTCCAGCGATCCCTCAATCCGCCCTATGACGCAGTGCAGAGCCGACTCTGCAGATCTTCCCTTGGGAAGTAACGGAATTAGCACCGTATCCCTTATATATCTGTCGTACAGTCTTTCAAGTATCTTAAGAAAGAAAGGCAACAAACTGGTTGGGCGAAATGCTTTAGGCGTAGAGGCAAGTTTGGGGATAAAGACAATTTTTATCTCCCTCTCCCTCTTTAGGTATGTATCTGAAAAGCGCTACAGCCCATATACAGTGCTATTTATTAAGAAGTAGACATAGGGATTTACGTCATTATTTTTTCTTATGACTTTAAATGACAAAATTTCTTCTGAATTCGTAATTGTATGTAACAAAAGAACTTTTTAGAACAAATAAAGATCTGGCTGTCATATTAATTAATTTGAATATTGTTGCTTTGGCTTCCGTATTTCTATTTTCGTTCGTGTGTGATGTATTCAACTGAAGAAAAAGTTGATACTGTCAATTGGCATAGTGCCGGTAACAGTTTAAGGGAGGGGCGTAGAGATTTATTTTCTGTTAAGTCAAAGCAACAATGTTCAAACTAATTAATATGACAGCCAGATGTTTATTTGTTTTAATAGTTATTTACATAAAAGTCGAGGAAAATGACACATTACTGGCGAGGGGGCTGAGTACTTTAATTTCCGAGTCAAGTAATGTCATTTTACTGACGAGTTTTGTATTAAATCTGACCCGACATCGTATTTTAATATAACATTTCAATTTGTAGTATATAAAACTGTTGATTAATGTCAGTCTGTCAGTGATGACAGGAGAGACATTATAAATGTCACAAATGCGGCCGATGAAGTGACGATGCGGCCTGTAAAGTGACAGGTGCGGCCAGTAAAGTGACACGCGGCAGGAAACGTAGTCTGCTCTGCCTCTGTTATGGAAACTCATATTTCCTGACAGAAAGTAGGCATGAAAATAAAGGTTTCAGGACGATTTTGGGTAAAAAGATTTTGTCTTTTGAAAGTAGACATAGGGAACAACAATGTACATAAATCCCTATGTCTACTTCTAAATAAATATCACTGTATATTCTCATTAGGTAGATGACAATAACATGTAGTCCTGGTGATTTGCATGCTGAGAAGGATTTCAAGGCTCAGGTCACCTTCGCCACATCCACCATCTGACTGACCTGACCATCTAGTGCGAATAATGGGGGTTATCTCTGACCAGTTGGAGTAGCCTGCTGTGATGGTTTCGGGAAAGTGGGCATCACTTAGTACCTCGGCTATCTCCGAGAGGTTGTTCGTGTAGGAACCATCCCCTTGTATGAACCATCCCCTTGTATGGGGCTAGCTGGGTTAAAATATGAACCATTTGTTAGAATTTTATTTAGGCGGGATGCCGAGGAGGTAGATTCTATATAACTGCAATAATAATAATGCAAATTTGAGCTCACCTAACCACTAGTGAAGCAGCTTCGAAAAATCACAATTATCACACACGCATAGTACATGCTAACTCTTTCAAACTTTAATGTCGTCGGCCGAAAACCCGCTTTACAACTCGGATCTCGAAACGCACACTTTTAGTAAAAACGTACACGCTGTTATTTGTTATCGGCTTTTATTTTAAGACATATTTTTGTTCACGTTCGCTAAGAATCGGTATACGTGTAAATTTTTAAATTTTTAAGTGTTGAAGAAAGCTTTAAGAAAATTCTGCAGATTTAAAATGGAAAAGAAGACTCTGGGAAGATTCTAAACAGATTTGGAGAATATTAAAAAGAGATGAAGAGTCGAATCCTGCAAGGCGATATCTCAACAATTCCCGTTCCCGAGGAATGGCACCCTACCAGGCGCGTCCCCAGGTGGCGGATAGGGGAACGGCCTAAGCGAATGAGTGTACTTACGATGACGCGCAGGTTAATGCTAGGAGTAAGGCTGCTCGTTACTTATGAAACAGTGACTGGTAGCAACAAAAGAGAGCATTGCGGACGGCTACCCCGCCCAGCTGTCGTGTCCCAAAGCCGGGTCAAACAACCGGCTTGAACCTCAGAATACGGCGCCGCTCCATTGTATTAGGTCGCCTTACACGTATGCAGGGGGCACCGCACCCGTGGACATTTCTTTCCCCCTTACTTATGGGATTTATATACCAGGAAAAACAAAAATAGCCAACTACTCCCGGAGCACCTGGTAATGGAGAGCCTAAACACCTCTCCGGGGCAACGCGCCGTAATAGTCTAAGAGCTGGCTACGGAAAAAAGTGGCTGATTTTTTTGTGTACAGTATCCTGATACATAGTAAAGTAGAAAGTCATGTCTGCCAGCGAGATCACGTGGCTTAAAGTTGGGAGGGGCGGTCAAATATGTCAAATTTTAATAAAACTACCTATCTTCCGACTATATGTACCTCTGGTGCCTTTATTTTGAATCTTTCGCAAAAAATGGATGAGACTTTTTTGTACATTCATTTAGGCGGTTAAGTGGCGCTTGGAAGTGCAGAATTCCTGGGCAAAGGTGTCTCTTCCACACAGCCGTGAAAGACCAACCTCAAGGGAGGCTGGTAGTTTTCGGCATTGAGGAAGAGGACCAGACTAACCTAATCGCCAAGGGGGGAAGACTCAGTTATGGGTTTTCCTCTCTGAAAGTGAGGGTTAGTAACCCTGCCGAACCAGAGGTGGGGAGTACGTTAGTACAACCACCAAAACATCACCAACAGGCGCCACATGAGCAACTGCAAAAACCTACGGAAAAATCACCGCCCAGGCTGCCAAGGCAATCTGTGGTCGATGCACTTCTTTGACACACGGCAAGAAAAACCTAGAACATGTATTTATGTCCCTAGCCACTTTAAAGCTCTTCTGCTGCCACACCTGTGTGGACGTGATATCACGACCATACAGTTAAGCTGTGACATGCAAGGAAAAGCTCAAGTAGTAATAGCGTCAGTTTATCTCCCGGGAGATTCTGTCAACCTACCTCCCAGTAACGAGATGGTAGAACTGATAGAACACTGTGAGAAAAACACCTCATTATAGGGCGCGACTCAAACGCTCACCATACTATATGGGGGAGCGCTAACGTCAACCCTAGGGGTAAATCATTACTCGAATATTTGACAAGCACTAATCTAGA